CTCTCTCTCTCTCCCTCCCTCCCTTCCTGCCTCCCTTCCTCCCTCCCTCCCTCCCTCTCTCCTTCATCATACCACTCCATACATTTGCTCACCATAATGATGCCCAACTGCCCAGCAGAGTAAGGCACCAGGCAAACCTGTGTTTTCTCTTAGGAGCCCAGGGCACACAGGCCCCAGGCATGCGTATGAGCCTCCTTGTCCTGCTCAGTCTGTCATGGCCCTGGGCAGGACCTTGCTTTCTCCTCCTCTAATTCTCCTAAGTCAAAGCATTGCAAATGTTTCTTTTCTTCAATTTTTAAATATCTATTTCTTATTCATATTTGATGTGTGTGGGTGTTTAGCCTGCATGTCTGTGACTACCCTGTATGCATGTCTGATCTGAGGAGGCCAGAAGAGGGGGCTGGATCCTCTAAAATTGAAACTAAGGATGGTTGTAAGCTGTCCTCAGGGTGCTGGAAACTGAACCCTGGTCATTGACAAGAACGGCAATGTTGAATCACAGCCTTGTGAGCCTCTTAACATCTGAGCAATCTCTCCAGACCCCTTAGGCTATCATTTTTTTTTCCCAAAGAAGTTTGGGTTTGAGATGTCCCTCAACCCAAGGCTGGAAAAAGAAAATGTGGTCTATTTACACAATGGAGTACAACCCAGATACTAGAAAACATGATGTTATGAAATTTTCAGACAAATGGATGGAACTAGAAAAAAAAAATCATCCTAAGCAAGATAACTCAGAACCAGAAGGACGAAAATGTTATGTACTCACTTGTAAGTGGATATTAGCTATTAAGTAAAGGATAATCATGCACAATCCACAGACTCAGAGGGGTTAAGTAACAAGGAGGGCGCTAAGAGAGATGCATGGATCCCCTAGGAAGGGGAAATAGAATAGATTTGTGGGTGGATTTGGGGGCAGGTGGGATGGGAGCAGGAAGGAGCAGATGGGGGATGGAGGAGTGGAGAGAGACAGTGGGGAGAGAGAGAGAGAGAGAGAGAGAGAGAGAGAGAGAGAGAGAGAGAGAGAGCCCAGCCCCAGTGACACCCTTCCTCCAACAGGNGAGGGGGGGGGGAGAGAGAGAGAGAGAGAGAGAGAGAGAGAGAGAGAGAGAGAGAGAGAGAGATGGCTGGATTAGGTGGGCATTTAAGGGGCAGAGGGGAAATCTAGTGCAGTGGAAATGTCCTAAAATCTATCAGGTCGACTCTAGCAAGGACTCCTAGCAATGGAGGATATGCAGCTAAGCTGGCCATCATCTGTAACCAGTCAGGCTCCCAGTGGTGGGACTGGGACACGAATCCAGCCACAAAACCTTTGACCCTGCTGACAAGAGGCACTGGGGCAATCAATGGTGACTCAGAGTCTGTGGGTGTGGCCAACTAATGACTAGTCTAACTTGAGGACCAAGCCACAAGAGGGAGCCCGTGACCAACACTGCCTGGAAGACCAGGAACTGGAAGCTACTGGGCTTACAGACCTAGGGTAGATCCAAACAGGACTGAGAAAAAAATGTCAGTGAGCTGACATTTCCTAATTGTTCTGCTCTACTCACAGGCCCAGTCTAGCTCAGTCGTCATCAGAGAGGTTTTCTCCAGCAGCTGATGGGAGCGGATGCAGAGACCCACAGCCAAACATTAGCCAGAGCTCCTGGAACACTGAAGAAGAGGAAGAGGAAGGACTGTAGGAGCCAGAGGGGTCAAGGACACCAGGAGAACACAGCCCCAGAATGAACTAAGCAGGGCTCCCAGGGGTTCACAAAGACAGAGGCTGCCTGGGTCCACTCTAGGACTGCAAACATGCTGTGGTTGTTTAACTTTGTGTTTTTCTGGGCTCCCAACAGTGGGAGAGGGAGTGTGTTTGATTCTTTTGCCTGCTTGCAGGACTCATTCCTCTAACTTGGTTGTTTCCAGCCTTGATATCAGGGTTTATGCCAAGTCTTATTGCATCTTGTTATGCCATGCTTGGTTGATATCCCTGGGAAGCCTGTGCTTTTCTGAAAGGAACTGGAGGAGCAGTAGATCTGGGGGAGAGGGAAAGTGGGGCGAGGGACTGGCAGAAGGGGAGGGAGGAGAGGCTGTGATCAGGATGTATTGTATGAGAGAAGAATAAAGTTTTTAAAGAAAAATTAGATTTTTGAAGCTGTGGTAAAAATATCCATATGGCCCACCATAAGCACTCGTGTGTGTGTGTGTGTGTGTGTGTGTGTGTGTGTGTGTGTGTGTGAGCAACATCTCCAGCATCCAGATCTCTTCATCTGTGGGCTGACACTGCTCTCCACAGCCTCAGGAACCACCACGGGCTTCTCCCCTGTGGGCTCTCCCTTCCCCATTGTCCTCACGAAGGAGACATGCAGCATCTGTCCTTCCATGTCCCGCTTATTTTGTCTACGCTAATGTCTCCAGGCTTCATTGTGTTGTGTGTGAGGCAGAATTTCCTGCCCATTAAACGCCGAGAGATTCCACTCCACACTGTCACACTCTCACTCGGTTCAGCTCACGGTGGACATCCAGGCTGTGCCTCTGACTTATCAATCAAGTTGCCACGAATGTGGAAGAACAAACATCTCCCTGTGCGTCTGTTTTCGTCATTGCTTCTGTGCATTTACTCAGAAGGGGATTGGCCGGGGAATGTGGCATTTGTGTATCTGGGGTGACCCTCCACCCTGGTTGCAGAAGCCAGGTGCGGCGGATTTCAAGACTTTGCTATGACATAAGAGTGACACCTGCCAACTCTCCGATGTCCTCTAACTCAGAGTATAGGAGGGGAGACCGGATGGTACCTTTAAAACTTGCTACCGAGCTGCCTTGTGATGTGACTTTCACAACCAGTTTCCACTTCCACTCAGGAATCTTCTGATCATGAGACCAGGTCCTCTCCCCGGATGAACTTTGTAGGCAACTTCCACAATAATCACGGCAAGTCTCCAGGTGATTTCCAGCTTTTCTGGATCAATTCTGGGTCAGCTCATTCTGGTTTAATCCAAAGCTGCTGTGCTCACTCAGCAAATGGACCTGCTGCTCCTGGCGATTACCCATGCGGCAAACTGAGGGCAAAGTTATCCGTGCTCCAAACAAAAATATTACATTCATGGCCTAGAGTCTGTCATCCTTATGTGCAGTTCGACAATTGCTTATAGTCCAGAGGCCGAGAAGCAATATTTGCACTTGGTTCGAAAACTTGGAACCTTCTTGAAATTGATACTTGTTATCTAGGGCCTGGTTTTTTCATAATGAGCAAAGACAAATCAGATGTTCTTGGGGTCCAAGTGTCCAGATTTTGATCATGTGGGGCAGTGGCTGTCCTTCCTCTCCCAGGGAGCCACCCAGGGCTCTCAACAGATGATACTTACGTTCATCCCTGTGCTTTCCCGTCATGGGAGGTTTGTCTGTCCTGGCCATTAGATGATTTCAGAAGCCACCAGGTCACAGGCTCATTTGGAAGATCCCAGCAGCTAAAAGGAGACCAGCAGGAGGTGAGTGCTGTTCTGGGCCATGCTTTCTCCAGTATATGGACTGTGATAGGGTAACCATGGTGATCGGACATCTTGGTCACTGACCCCTCTTCTCTAGGAGATGCTGTGGTCCAGACAACTCCCCCTAGATCCTCAGCTAATGCTTCCCATTGCATCAGGGTCATATTCCTTTGGGCTAAAATGACCTCTAGATCATCCTCAACTCTTAAATGACAGCCACCCTGAGTAACATTTCTTGTTATGTCACTGTTCAACTGAGTTGTTGTTAGATTTTCAGAGTGTCCAGGTGGGGTGAAACTAATCTCAGAGACCCCCTACTCTACTCCCTCGCCACGAGAGTCTACAGCTCAGAGACTGTTCAAGACGGCGAACATTCCAGTGTATTCTGTACTCTGCAGAGGGCCCACATCCCTGCTAGTCTGCAGTTCCTGTGGACCCTTTCACAGTCCTGCATCTCACCATGATGGTCTCTGACTGGCTAACTGAATTCATGCTAATAAAGGGGACAGATTTCAGTGCAAGGAAACTTGGCAGAAGAAACATGGTCAACAATAGCTGGAAACAGGGAGCAGCCGGGTTGAGAGGAGCGTGGCTCTCTCCTCTCCCCGTCATGGCTTGTACCCATCCCCTCATATTGGTGTACTCTGAAAAGGGGGAGTCATCTGGCAAGAATGTCACTTTGCCAGCTGTCTTCAAAGCTCCCATTCGACCGGATATTGTGACCTTTGTTCACACCAACTTGAGGAAAAACAACAGGCAGCCCTATGCTGTCAGTGAATTAGCAGGTCATCAGACTGGAGCCGAGTCTTGGGGTACTGGCAGAGCTGTGGCTCGAATTCCGAGAGTTCGAGGTGGTGGTACCCACCATTCTGGCCAGGGTGCCTTTGGAAATATGTGTTGGGGAGGCCGCATGTTTGCACCAACCAAAACCTGGCGTCGTTGGCACCACCGAGTGAACACAACCCAAAAGCGATACTCCATCTGTTCTTACCCTGGCTGCCTTACCAGCCTTGGTGATGTCTAAAGGTCATCGTATTGAGGAAGTTCCTGAACTCTCTTTGGTAGTTGAAGATGAGGTTGAAGGTTACAAGAAGACCAAGGAGGCTGTTCAGCTGCTTAAGAAACTTAAAGCTTGGAATGACATCAAAAAGGTCTATGCCTCTCAGAATGAGAGCTGGCAAAGGCAAAATGAGAAACCGACGACGTGTCCAGCGCAGGGGGCCTTGCATCATCTATAATGAAGATAATGCTATCATCAAAGCCTCAGAATCCTCCCTGGTATTACTCTGCCTAATGTCAGCAAGCTGAACATTTTGAAACTTGCTCCTGGTGGGCATGTGGGCGTTTTTGCATCTGGGCTGAAAGTGCTTTCCGCAAGTTGGATGAGTTGTATGGCACTTGGCGTAAGGCTGCTACCCTCAAGAGTAACTATGACCTTCCCATGCACAAGAAGATGAACACAGACCTTAGCAGAATCTTGAAAAGTCCAGAGATCCAAAGAGCCCTCCGAGCACCATGCAAGAAGATTCAACGCAGAGTCTTGAAGAAGAATCCACTGAAGAACCTGAGAATCATGTTGAAGCTCAACCCATACGCAAAGACCATGCGCAGGAATACCATTCTTCGCCAGGCCAGAAATCACAAACTCCGAGTGAAGAAACTGGAAGCAGCAGCAGCAGCAGCAGCACTGGCTGCCAAATCAGAGAAGGGGACTGCAGACAAGAAGCCTGCAGAAAGTCAGAACGAAAAGAAGCCTGTGGATGTCAAGAAGCAGAAGAAGCCTGCAGGAAAAAAAAAAGGCTGCAGCTACCAAGAAACCAGCAGCTGAGAAAAAGCCAGTAGAGAAGAAGCCAACTAAAGAAGAGAAAAAGGCTGCTGCTTATTCTATTAAAATTACTTTCATTCCATTGAGCAAATAGAGACAGCCTAATTGAATAAAAATCTGATCAAAGATGCAAAAAACAAAAACAAAACAAAACAAAAAAAACAATAGCTGGAAACCAGAAAGTATGGCCAGGAAAATTCATGAGAGAGCCAAATAGCTTCTAGGGACAAAATGTTCTCTTGGTTTTAGATGTCCTTATTCCAGAAGGCAGAGACCATCTTTCTCTAAAGATCACAACATAGCCATGTACAGTAGTAAGTGCATAGCAACTCTGTGTTTATGGTGCTGAACTTTCCTTTTCTCCATCTGAGAGACTGGATCAGGTCGGTCAGTTTTGCTCTGTGGGCTGAGACACCAGCCTGGGCTTTAAAACACTGCAGTTAAAGTAACTACGCCACACACCATGCACCGGGTTTCATATGTGACAGTCATGGATGAGGACCTGTGTGTTGATATCATGCAAAGGGTAGCAGGATTGAAGGCAGAGGGCTTCTCAAACGGGACTCAAAGACGGTCCAGGATTAGAGCCTGCTCAAGGGTCACGTGGGTGTTAGAGAGCATTTTTGTGTTCCACAGAGATGAGCCCCCGCAGTGTGGGGCGCTTGCTGTGAGTATAAGATGCTGACCCAGAGTTATCTTGTTTTGATTTTTGTTGTTATTGTTTTCATTAGATTAATGGTTGCCACCACAGCTCTTAGACAGGAGGGTCATCCTGTGGCTAAAGGGTCCGATTGTTTGGAAAGGGCGTTTACATGGCCGCAAAGTTTGGGTTAGAACCCCTTTTGTAATGTTTTTAGTTTTATGGAGAACCAGATGAATAGTTTTGAGACATCTGGAAGTGCTGGGGTTGAAGTTGAGTCAGAGTTGCTCTTAGAACCTTTTTGTTTACTGTCTGTCTAGGGTAGGGAGTCATTCACCTTCACCACACCTTGTACTGAGGTCTTGCTATTTCTGCAAACTCTGGTATCCAGAGGCAGGAAAACCTAGCTACTCTGAGGAACTCTCGAACCTGCCATTTAGTCTTTGGAGCTGGGATATGAAGGAAGGCAGCAATCCTTCACTGAGACCTGCTCCTTTCCCCTTCTCTCAACTGGTAGCCAAGATGGGCAGCCTCTGATATACAAAAGTTGGGCTTTCTTAGCCAACATTCTGCAGTCCAAGGTCTGTCACTCTTGCTGCAGTCCTCAGTGGCCCTTTTACAATTTATTTTAGTTTTAGAGGCTAGGCGGAGGATTGGTTAGAGTATACGTTGTTAGAGTGTGGCCCTAGGAAACCTCTGATAAAGAACAGGAAGTCAGCATTTAGTGTCTCATCAAACAGAGTTGGAGAATTTTCAAATCCTTAGGACTACCTGGTTCAGGGAAGTTTCCCACTGTATCCTCTTTCTGGGTCCACCTATGTAAAATCAAAAATAGCCTATGGGAGGCTAAAGAAGACATCCTTCAGGTCCAAGACAGTGTACACCTGTTTCTCTGGCAGAGTCAGACTCATGAGAACCAGAGGTCCCAGTTTTCTTCACAGGCAGGGGAGGTGTATTCCAGGATGACTGGCAAGGCACCAGGATGCCTGTCTCTCTAAGCCTGGCAATGGGGACCACAACTTCCCTTTTTGTTTCCAGGGTCATTGGGTATTGTTTAGTCTGTGGAGAGTAGCTGAACTGATTAATTGAGCAATTACATAAACTTGGTGTTGGGCCGGTCTTTACGGATTGGTTTCTGTCTATATTCCCAGGAACTGTAAATCTGAGAGTTCAATTGTATTCCTTGACTGGGGCAGGACTTTCTATAGGAGATATTCTTCTGACAGAATCTGTAAGTCTTACTGTGTGTCATCATCAGAGAAGGTAACAGTGGCTCTCAGTTTATATATAAGGTGTCGTCTCTCAATCTGTTCTCTTTTATTAAACACCTTCGAGTTACCTCCAGCAACTGGGACTCATTTAAACCTTTACATTTTTCTAATTTTAAAACATTTTCTAATAGCTGGGGCCAACTGGGTGACAAAGGAAATCTTTCCAGTAGCTGTCGTTCATCCTTCTAAAAAGGACCCAGCAAAAAGTATTCGAAGTCCCCTTGGTCAGTGTTGCACAGAAGAGAAAATCCATTCTGTCCAGGCTGACTAGTCCTGCTCTAATCCGCACACTGACAAGGTTCTGGGGGAGGGGTGTTCTACTTTTGGAAAAAAATGGTAGGTTTTGAGTTCTCCAATTACATAGATTGCTTGTTGAAAAAGATACATCATGAAAGAGGAAGGAGTGGAACTTCCTCTTTTGCTTAGGGAACTTTTTCCATTCCCGGGGGTTGCATAGAGAAAGGGGTGGGAGTAGAGCAAGTGTGTGTCTGAGACACTATTTCTCCTGCATGTGCACATGTCAGCCTAAGAGCTACAGGGTTGATCTGTGGAGAGTCCCCGAGACTGAGATAGCAGGTCTTTTCCCTCCAGATCACAGCAACCCCCATTTGAAACGGGTTCAACCAAGAACCTAGAATGACAAGTCTAAGGTCACTCCTTTGAGTCAGCAGGGAGTGTGGGAAGAGTATAACATCCAGAACACCACAAGTTTCCTGTGTTCTTTCAGGTCCTTGCCAAGAGGGGCTTTCTCTTTCGCTTTCTGGAGGCTGTGTTTGTTAATCACTTGGATGCACAGCTGGTCACCGTGTCCACACAGCTAAGAACTGTGCAGTCCCATCTGAACTCAGCCTGTTGAGATTCCAGGTAAGTGCTGGGTTTGTGGTCTGAATGGTGCTTCCATCATGGAGTCAGCTGTGCGAAGGTCTGGAGGCCTACTAAGGTTTGGGGGCCTGTTGCCCTGAGAGGATGTGATACTGAGTGCTTCAGAGCAGGAGTTCCTGGGAGGAGAACCCACAAAAGCAGATGACCAGACGCTGCGCAGGCCATCGCAGCACCAAGGTCAGCATCAACAGAACAGGAGGTGGGGGCGGTGCTGAGGATGTGGGTGGGGGATGGAGGGGATGAACAGAACCCAGGAGGTACAGGGGATGATCTGTGGATAGTCCCTGAGTCTGTGGTGCCAGGTCTTTTCCCTCCAGACCACAGAGACCCCCCCCCTATTTAAAATGAGCTCAGCTAGGAACCTAGGACTAAGGTCACTCCTTTGAGTGGGTCAGCTCGGGGCATGGGATGAGGGTAGCATCCAGCAAATCACAAGTTTCCTGTGTTTGTCAGTTCCTTGCCAAGTGGGACTTTTTCTCTTTCGTTTTCTGGTTTGGGTAAATCAGCAGGAGGCCGTGTTCCGTAACCACTTGGATGCACAGCTGGTCACCATGTCCACACAGCTAAGGACTGTCCAGCCCCATCTGAATTTAGCCTGTTGAAGATTGCTGGTAAGTTGGGGAATGTTTAAGTTCTCACGCCTGCATACCCCCATAGCCACTCTGAAAGAGGATCATGATAAGTTCAGCAAGGTGAGGCATCTGCCTCGCTCGGGTCACAGACACAGCAATGAAGCTGCCTTTGCAGCTAGGGTGGGGTCGGGCCGCTCCCCCCTTTCCATCTGCTGTAAGTGCAAGATAGGATGAGGGGCTCCTCAGACAAGCCTATAGAACCTGTGGGACTCAGCTGTGCACCAGGTTCCTGACACGTGACCGGGAGACCTCAGGGAGGAGTCTGCTCTCAGTGTCCCTCCACTGGGAAACAGGAAGCAACAAGATAGGGGATAGGGGACCACACATCTCTGTTTGGGGGCCTGGACATGCAGAGCTGGCTCTGCGTGATGTGACCAAAGCAGAATGGGGACAAGAACTGCTTTTTGAGACACAAGGACCCCAGGGTTTTTGCACCCGTCTTTCTCTGAATCCACACTCTGAGTCAGGCCTTGTGAGGAAACCAAGGCTTCAGAAGAGAGACTTGGCCAGGATTCTGAGTCAGGGGCTGAGCAGGTGGCTGGCAGCAATTTACCTTCTGGGCTTCACCTGGCCTCTGCTCACCTATTAGGGGATGAGACAGGGCAGAGCCTCTTATACGTCCATGTGGGGGTTGGGACACACACAGGCCTGCATTGTATAGTCAGATCTAGCTCCAGGAAGCCCAGTGGCCCCCATGTCCCCACCCCTACAGCACTTTTTCCAGTTTTTGGAGTGCTCTCTGGGGTCACTGGACTCGGGTTTGCTTGACTACTGCAGAATGACTGAAAAGTCGATTTCTTTTCTCCTTTGGCTTTAAAACTCGCCAGCTACCAGCTGCTTTTGTCACCCTGCACCTGATTTCCCGGATGTGTGCTCAGACTCTGCCTGCTGGATACTTGGGGTCAGATGTGATCCCATGTAAGCACATTAAACATTAGCGGGTGTGAGAAAGGCTGCCTTTGGGGAAGGGGCTGGCAGGAAATCAACCTCTAGCATGAGCTTTGTTCGAAGAGAAAGTCACCGTGGGCAGGATGTGGTTGGGCTTCAAGGTAGAATGACACTCAGGGGACAGAGGATCTTCAGAGGTGATGTGACAGAGCCTTAAAGGAAGCTTCACTCTAGGACCTGGAGAGGAGGTTCATTGAGAAATAAAGTCTAATTAAATAATAAGATAGACAGCCACCATGGACAGCAAGGCGGGAGGACCTAAAGCTGGGGAGACAAGAGAGAGAGAATAAGAGAGAGTGAGATAAAAATTCCCTCGATTTTATAATGTATCCCCAGGGACTGGGGAGCCTGGCCAGAGCTCAAAGCCAATTTCAGAGTAGGTGTCTGATTGACTCTGAATGACAGAAATAAGGAAAAACATTGGTTCACAAGTTCCTCTCACATCCTTTGGTAGTAGAGTGTACCGCGATTGAAGGTGGGGACCAGAGAGGCATGGGGACATGGTCTGATTCCTCAAAGACAGCTTGGAGACTGGGAGGAAGGAAAGGAGGGAGGGAGGGAGGAAAAGAGGAAGGAGGATTGAGGGAGGAAGTGGGAGACAGATAAGTGGTCTGTGATCTAACAACTAGGTCTTGCTGATTGTCCTCAAAAATTCTGGAAGCTTCTATAACCATCAACCCCAAAGGCAGTGTGGTTCCCACAGCAGGTCAGTGATAGACAGCAGATTCCAATGCTTTGGCCTGTTATGTTTCCTGACCCTGTGTGTCTACAGAGGAAATGGAGAGACAAGCAAGGAAGGAAGTGACTCTGCCAAGGTGCCTTATATCTCAAGTACCTGGACACATTAGTGCAGGAATAGGAGAGGCTGGAGGGAACTGGGTCCAAGGTGGTGGCCCCGGGTGTCACCAGGAAGGGAAGTTTCAAATGGCTTGCTCAGCCGGACAGTGGTGGCATACATCTTTAATCCCAGTTCTCAAGAGGCAGAGGCGGGTGGAACTCTGTGAGTTCAAGGCCAGCCTGGTCTACAAGAGCTAGTTCCAGGATCCAGAACAGGCTCTAAAACTACAGCGAAACCCTGACTCGGGGAAAAAAAAAAAAAAAAAAGAATGGCTTGCTCATGGTCTACTACTCCTCAAGCTGTGATTGGATTCTGTTTTTGTTTTATATCCTTGAGCATGGTGCATGCTTGCAATCCTAGCATTTAGAGGGTGGGAGAGGAGGATAAGAAGTTTAAGGTCAGGTTCATTGACCCATTAAGTTGGAGGACAACCAGGACTTGAGAGCCTGTCTAAAAAAAAAACAAACACATGAATAAATTTAAAATAAAAAATCCTAAAGTGAGGAAGAGAGGGGTATAGTTGGATGAGAGTCAGCGAAATCGATGGAGACTCTCAGAAATCAACAGCTTGTGAAGTCAGTGTGGCCTCCTACGTGTGCTGTGTCACCAGCCTCAAGCTCCTGACAGTAAGCTGATCATGCAGACAGAAAAGCAAACCAATAGAAGTGCTCAGTCAGAAGGAAAGGTGGGCTGGGGTTGTGTCCTCTGTAAGAGCCCAGGCCAGAGACAGTCTGGGGAGAAAAGGGCAAGGCCCTCCTGGTTGTTCCCAGCATAGGTAATGGGCTGCCACAGAGATCATGGCAGTGATCAAGTCCAGTGAAACCAAGCGGTTATACGTGGTAAGCCGGATAGTTAGAATGTGCCTGCTCTGGTCTCAGCTAACACCACAGATGTCAGGCTTGGTGCCTGCACTGACAACACTTGGGACCCCTTGCAAAGCCCTACATGGCACTGCAGCAAAAGGGGACAATGAGGGAGAGCAGGCTGAGGTTTCTCATGGTTGCTCTTGATGGTTGGACTCAAGATGGCTGAAGTCAGGCCAAGCTGGACCCCTGCACTGACACATTAAGCCTGTGTAATGTTGGCTCGCTGGCCTCTCTAGACACAGGTCTCCTCACTTCCCTTCACCACAGGACAATGCCGTGGTGTTTGAGGTGTTGTGACTCATCTCAGGCACTCAAAGGTGAGAATCACATTTTCAAAACCCTTGAGAGGGGGCTGGAGAGATGGCTCAGAGGTTAAGAGCATTGCCTGCTCTTCCAAAGGTCCTGAGTTCAATTCCCAGCAACCACATGGTGGCTCACAACCATCTGTAATGGGGTCTGGTGCCCTCTTCTGGCCTGCAGGCATACACACCGACAGAATATTGTATACATAGTAAATAAACAAACAAACAAATAAATATTTAAAAAAAAAAACCCTTGAGAGTTCGAGGATTTTTTTCTTTTCTGGGGAAACATACTGGCTTGAGATGGGCAATCAGCACGGCCCTGTGCTTTGCAGTCCTAGGAGTTTTGTCGGTCATAGTCACTCAGATGACTTCACCAGCCACCATGTCACTTGCTCATATGGAAGATTCCTGTCTCCTTTAAGGTCTCTAGAGAAAGGGAGACTGCTTCAAGGGTAGTCGGTGTAGTTGGTCTCTGATACAGGTAACCCTATGCCTGATCCAGCTTGTCTTAGCCAAGCTCCTTCTATAGGATGCTGGTGAGGGTGGGGTGATCATGGTGACCAGGCACCTTTGTGCTGAGCCCTCTCCACCCACCAAACTTGGTAAGGCTGATATTAGCATATAGCAAGATTCTGACATCTCCAATTGAATTGTGGTCATTGTTAGCATTCGGGCACCTGTGCTGGTCCGACCTTGTGATCTATTTCATTAGCTCTACCCACTAAGAGAATCAGCTTTCACATTCACCATGTTCCCTTTTAAAAGGGCCCTGCCTTACTTGTGCTCTCTCTCCTTCTGCTCCTGATTTGGACCTTGAGACTTCAGTCCGGTGCTCCAATGTGGGTCTCTGTCTCTGTCTCTGTCTCCTTTCATCGCCTGATGAAGGTTAATATTCAGGAGGATGCCTATATGTTTTTCTTTGGGTTCTCCTTCTTATTTAGCTTCTCTAAGAACCCGAATTATAGGCTCAATGTCCTTTATCTATGGCTAGAAACCAAATATGAGTGAGTACATCCCATGTTCCTCTTTTTGGGTCTGGCTTAACTCACTCAGG